ATCTGAAAGTAAAAAAAAAACTCATGTGCAATACAATGAATATGTCTCACATGATTGTTATTATGCATTCCGTAGTTCTAGCATCAGAAAATTTTGTGTATAACTATTGGAAATTATTTATGTCTGTGTGTTGTATATCATTCTATATAGATATTTATCGTCATGTAGGGTCGTGCCAATGTAAAAGAATATAGACTCACAGAATGTTGAATTTGAAAATGAAAGTGACGTTGATTTTTTGTATGAACGTTGGGTTAGTAAAAACTAATTAGTTCCAACGTGAGTCCTGTCCAAATTTGAATTGATAATAGAATTGTTGCTTTTTTTTCTATTCGATCGATCGACTTGAAAGATAGCACTCTGCCTAAAAATAACCTGTATACATAGTGGATATCGGAACAGAAGATATACTAGCTAATCAATAATTAGACAATATTGTTGTCTAGGTAGGTTTTGCTTGCACGAACGTTAGTTACAGGTGTCAGAAAGTTTCTTTATAGTTTTTGAATGATATTATGATTCCCGTTTCTCGAAGGAAACGAGAGTGGACCGAACTCGACGACACTGCAGTGTCAAGACGATCCATGGTATGGGACCGAGTAAACTCGGTTGATCCCTACCATGAGCCAAAAATCCGTTTGAAAGAGCCTGGCTTTTTCAACCAGCGCCGGCTTTCAAACCGACGAGAACAGATACTACACTTTGATCTTAGCCTCAGAAGGCCGTAAAGCGTTAACTCAGTTCTCAAATTCAGGCGTTTATATAGAGTTCGTCTTTACAGATTTCACATACCTTTCCTCAACAAAAAAGCAGAAGTTTCGCAACTAACTTGGATATTTCGTAATAATCACCTTCACTCAAATTGTGTAACATGTATTCATCGTCATACATGACTCATGTCAGTCAAAATATCTCCGCATCAACAAACAAAACAAAGCTCACATTCTTTGATTACGTGATATCCACGCTCAATAGTACTTAGTTTTTTAAATGTTTTTCCTTCTCTTATTGATACACTTCAAAAACAAATTGTACTGAATTAAGCGATTCTTCTTGAAATGTCTTTCACCGTAACTGAAAATGAAAAAGATATTAATTGAATATGAAATCGAATCGTAAAAATATTTATCTTTGCTACTGGTCGATCTTTCATTAAAAAAAGTCAATATTTTAATACGGAAAGAATGGTATCAGTTGAGATTTTCTGACAATGTTTCTCAACATTCACACTTTGAATAAAAATATAAATCATCTTAAATTATCACAAAGAAATTTCTATTAGCATTCAAATATCTTAATAAGAATGCTGCACAATGTTTGTTATATAGAGGATTTATTTTGACAATTCTCTTAGGTCATTATTTGAGTTGATTTGCGTGACCATCAATTAAACGTTTTCCATAGAACGTTTTCATAGCTAGAAAAGTATGTGTAGATGATTGATAAAATTTGTTTTTCTTATAAGAAGCATCGTATTGAAAGAACTGTCTTCTTTTTATATAGACTTATATATCTATATATTTGCACTATAACTCAACTAAGCGATGACTACTAGACACCACTTTTATTCTTTCCTTGAGAGGCTTTACTGTTCCAGTATATATTTCATATATTCTCTATTTGTTTTTCTTTTCGAGTGATAGTGAAATATTTTCAAAATGTAAATATATGTGTCCTGTGAATATTTCTAAGCTTCATCTTTCACAAAAAAATCACTGGGAAAATAGGTTGTATCAAAGCAGAAAATTATGCGAAATAAATAAATTCTTCCGTAGAACACTTTGTATCTCCATCGAGTTTTGTATACGAATGCAAACATAATCAACCAGTTTTCGTTTCAAAATGTACTTGATATTAATGCTAACAATCAACGCTATAATCGTCTGCATAAAATTTTGTGTCAACATGTGAGCCGATTTCTACAACTCAAAAAATTACAGTTTCTTGTCACTCATCATTAGGTCGAAAAAGTTTCTGAAATTTTCACCTACTACCGATTCAATTATGTGCTGCAAAGTAATTTTTGTCTGTATTTATGCGCATAACCATACATGTCATTCTCCTCGGTTTTTGATTTTCATAGAACAATGTCGCTCTGGCAGGTCGATGTTACCATCAACCCACTCATTTTCGTCATCGCAACATGTATTTGATCAAAGTTGATCGTTTACCTCTTGGTAAGTTGTAAATAAGCAACTTTTCTCTGTAGTATGTAGAGCACGACATCTGCTTCGTCTTTACACATGCCATGTAAGAAAAGACAGAACGAAAAAATGCAATATGTAAGCACAGAGAAAATGTCGAATCGTGGACCCTGATGAGAAAAGTTGCTTATTACAACTTACCAAGAGGTAAATGATCAGATTTGATCAAATACATGTTGCGATGACGAAAACGTGTGGGTTGATGACAATATCGACCTACCAGAGCAACGCTCTACATCAAAAATAACATGGTAGTATATCTCTCAGTTGCAGGATACGTTTTTTCATTACATTTTGTTGATAAAATCATTTTTAGCAACGAACTGTTACTCTGTAATATATGTGTATCATTGTAATTTTTTGGGATAAGACTATAGTGAAATGTAAAGTTATATAGGCCATTGTTTCTTTCATCAAGTATGATAATTGTATATCTCTAGACTGAATGTATTGATAGTTAGTAGTCAACGAGGGTTTCGACTGTTATATGAAAAAGTTCTCTTAGCAATGAAAAAGAATTGAACTAGTCAATTTTTATTGTACTTTGGTGCAGATATTTCTCGTCCATTCCTGAAGTATGTTATATCTAGCAAGACATCATGGAAATCGAGGAATATTATTGTAAAATCATGTCGAAGAAAAATAGAATTCTTTATGTTTGAAGGATAAATTACTGAAAATCGATATTTTATGGAATAAAAGTACATTGTTTTCCATCACTGTAAGTATTACAACAGTGATAAAATAATCTAATTCATCATCTAATGAAGAGAGAAAAATCGTTGTAAAATATTTAATAAAACCATGAAAGGAACTTATCAGTTTTGAAATAGGAGGAATTCGAAAAAAAATAGCTAAACTTTCCATCATTGAAACAAAGATAAGATATTTATTGCCATTTTACGCCGTGTGAAGAAAATTAAAAAAAAATGTGAGAATAAAGTGAACCTCGATTTCACCAACGGTTCCTTGGTTGAAAAGAAGCAAAGAATTCTACCTTGAATCTTCTCCAACTTTCACCAGAAAATATTTGCTCTTTTTTCTTCATTCCGTGAATTCACTTGAAAGGTAAGGTGCGACTTATAGATAAGCTATCAACGATAGAATATCAATTAAACTCTCTTGTGGTAGAGAACTATGAAAGGTAAAGAAGAATAAAAAAATGAAATTCTGTCAGCTTATATCGAACTTTATGAAGAGGAAAAGCGTGCAATTCTTTTGCGTAAGATCTTATATAAAAGAATAATTAGGAGATCAGTGAAACGTGGTTGTAAATAAAAAAGTGAAACAAACTTTGGTAACTCAAATGTGTTTCGAAATAAACAATAATAATAAAAATGTCTGATATTATGCTTCGATTGACAATAATAGTTGAGTTGAATTGTTTACGATTAAACATAGTTTCAGAGATTTTTGTCGAAAGATTTCATGCTTGTGCATAAAACATTTATTTGTATTTAGAGATGAACCATTATAGCTCTTCACTTCTCTGAGCTTTACTTAAAATTAAGAAAAAAATTTTCTTATCGACATTGTTTGTCTGTGCCAGTCACAAATATAATTCAGCTGTTTTCAATTTAAAATATTCATGATAATGTTTTCTATCGACCAGTACTGCCATCTCTTATTTACTATTGAAATTTCTATCAAATCAAGAGGTACTGGACCATTAGAAATATTAGTTTTGCTTTGTTCTTCTTGGTCCGCTTGATTTCATCAGTAAACAAAACAATCATGTGTTTCGTTTTATGTTAGTTATCATACTACAACGAACTTATGAAATATCATTAGAGCAGTTGCATCAGAATGTGAATGATGAATACACATCGTTATTTTATTGGGAATGTTTTCATTTAATTTTTCAATAAAGAGGGTTCCCGATTCCCGAAGGAAACGGGAGTGGACCGAACTCGACGGCACTGCAGTGTCGAGACGATCCGTGGCACGGGTCCGAGTGAACTCGGGGTCCCGGCCGATGTCCAAAAATCCGCTTGAAAGAGCCTGGCCCCAATGGGACCAGCGCCGGCTTTCAAACCGACGAGAACAGATACTACACTTTGATCTTAGCCGAAAAGGCCGAGAAGCGATAACTTACCTATTTGACAGAAATCTCGATATGCGTTCTGTGCTTACACACCACACAGTGTGCAGAACGAAAAAAAAGATGTGATGTGTAAAGACAAGAAAGATGTCGTGCTCTGCACGTGCACGAGAAGAGTTGCTTAATACAACTTACCCAGAGGTAAATGATTAAATCTGATCGAAAACGTGTTGCAATGACGAGAATTCGCGGGTTGGTGGTAACATTGACCTGCCAGAGCAACATTCCTTTTCTAAATGCTAATGAATTTCTATCCAACATTATATCGATCATTAGAAGTGCGTCTGCTACATTCATTTTCTCCAGGGCATATAGTTCTAAATAATACATGCAGATGTGATAGCTTAGGATTGGTATCGAACCACTCTTTCTTTCTTATCAACATAATGTTCATGACGAGAGCGTATTTTTATCGTTCGAAAATTTTCCCTGTTATCATAGAATATTCGCAATGTTTTCCAGAAAGAAAAGTAACGTTTCAACAGATAAAATGGGATTTTAATTTGTTTACTATATTTGAAAACTGTAGAGAATTTCTCTTCGATATTTTTTTTTCAATAGTTCATATTTGATTTTGTTGGTTGGTTTAACATGTTGTTGAACAGAAGTCATTGATAGTAATATTTGAACTATAGATAGTACTCTTGTTTATCTTCATCTAGATCCGTTTGTTTTAGAATTTCATGTAGTAATCGTCATTGATCTTTTCGTGTTTGAAAGAATAGATTATCTTGTTTATTAACTAATTCTGCTATGACTTTGTATGAATAACCTTGATTTATAAGAAAAATTTGTTGTTTAGCTAAATAAAACACTTCAACAGCATCTTAAGAAATAAGTGATTAAAAAAAATATTATATTCCTAAATATTAGCATTTTTTAGGTCGTACTTCACAGCCAAGTCGTTTTTCTGCTTGTCTTCTTGATCCTCCATGACTTGAAACTTATATTAATACATTTCCATCAACTAAATCAAATCATGTGTTTGTATCTTTCAAAACAAAAATTGTTTTTACACTTGGATTATGTTAAATATGCATAAATTTTTTAAGTTAACATTATTATCGCAAAAAAACGATTATTTTATCATCACATTGTTCATGATTACGTATTAAATATTCACATGTACGAAATTTATTTGGATTTATGATACATGAAAGTGAATATCAATGTTGATCATTATTAATTGATGCATATTATTGATCAAATTCTGGTGTCATTCAACAAAGTTACTTCATCCGATTTAACTTTAGCAATATGATCTAAATTGTGTAATTTTATCCAATTAGCTTCATATAATTCAGATCCAATTAAACAATTTAAATCAATTATTTTATTATCTTCTCTAACTAATGTTGTACGACATAATTTTGTATGAGCATGATCAGCAGTTAACCAAATTTTGAATCGTTGTTTTTATTGCTGAACAGATACATTTGAATTATACATTACTAAACAATTTTTATTTGTTGTACAAGTAGTAGCTATACTACCAAGTACAAATGTTTCTACACTAAATGAAAGAACAATTAAACGAGATCGTATACGTCGATTATGATACATATTTCTTTAAACTTTTTTCTTGATGAAATCGTAAAATCGCATTATATATAGAAGTTAAATATTAAAATTTTTCACAATCATATCATGATGAAAATCATATTCATCAAGTAGTGGATATTCTAGTTCTTGACATCGTTTTCGTAAAAGTTCAATTTTATTTGAAATAACCTCAAATGAAACCTTTTTTAAAAATCTTCATTATCGCAATCGGTTTTTTCATATAAACGTTGTATATCATCAGATATTTGTTCATATGTTGTTGTAATTTCTTTTGTAAGAACTGTTGCAGAAATAAGAAATTTGAAATTTTTTTATTATTGTGTTTATATCAATGTTATTCTCTGTTGGTGGTAACCGATATTCTTGACTTTGTGACTCATCTAGAATATTTTTTAAAACATCAGGAACAGAATTGTCAACAAGATATCGATTATATTGTAATACTAATTTTACTTTTCTATAACTTGATGTATATAATTTAATAAACTGATAATTTATATTTTTCTATATATTCTGACACACTATAGGTTCAGCAATAGTTATGAAAAAATCATGAGATTTGTTTTTTGTAAGCTAATGCTAATGATTCAAAAAAAATATGATCATCTTGTGCAACCCATCATAGACGATTTTTATGATCTACTCTACGTTTATATCTGAATGAAAATCTTTCAATGTTACACTAATTGTTTTTGTTCTATTTGACTTATCAAAATCATCGTGTTCACCGTGAATTTAATCATCTAACTGTCGAGCAGAGTACTGTAGGACAATACTTTTTTGTACACTATCTCCTATAATATCATAAGCTTTCCAGAATTTGACAGATATGAACATGACATTTGTTTTAGAATGATGAGATAAATGCAGTTTTATATATATTATTTGTATCGAATGAAATACATAATAAGAATCATAAAATAACTTTTGGATCCCAAGATTTACTATCCAGAGTTGTAATGGGTAACGATAAACGACTGATGTGCTTCAGTAGAGATAAATTTTCCTTTATCGCTCGTTCTGGATTTTTCTACAGTTTTTGCATTGTTTTTTTTTTCAAATATTTGAGCACAAAAGTGATATGAGTGTGGGTGTGGGTGAGTGTGGCTGGAGTGTAGTTGGGGTGCCGATGTGGTGAGGCAATGATAAGCAACAACTACACCCACACCCACACCACCCACATCCACACCCACACCCTCACACCCGCACCCTCACACCCACACCCATACCCACACCCACCCTCAGTTTATAATGAGTTAATGTGTCACAGTATATTTTATGGACGAGAAATCAAATGGTAATGGTGGAAAACTCAGGATGCGTACTTTTCCATATGTTATTGGATGTTCATTAATCAATGAAAAAAGTTGATTTTGAAAAATAATTATCTCATCAGCAATATTCATTGAATGTTTAACATCCTTTTTTTCATTTTTATAACGATCCCAGCACGAGGATAGTATTGTTGGAATATCAAATAAACCATTACATTCTTTCTTCTCTGGGTCCCATTCGAGAAAATATACGAACATTGGACGATGTGTATCATTACCCGGCCGTTCTTTTGGTTTACCTTGTATAACAAATGGATTCGGGAATGACGATAGGTTTTTTACAAATACTTTCATATCAGAACCGTCCAGATCACGAGGGACAATAATAAACAATTGGCCATTCTTCAAATGATATTCTTCGAATTTTCCGCGTGTTACTTCCATGTCGATTGGTGTGTGTCCTTCGTCAATCGATCGAATATTTGCCGCCGTTGGTACGATAAAATTATAGAAGTAAGCCAAAGCCATACCCATACCTGCTGATTGTTTTGCTCTTTGCAATTCACGTTCCAAACGTTGAATTCGAATTTGTTCGTCTTCAACAAGAAAAAAGAATTTTGTTATCAGTATTAATAGTGCTGTGGCAAACAGAGCATAGCCGACGACTAGCTGATCCTGTTGTTTTGCAATGATGACAAGAACTATTCCGATGACGAGTATAATCAGAGCAGTTCCCATTTTTAATAGATTCATTTTTCGAAACATCGATGCTCCTGTTAGAACTAACCAGGTACTCAATATTACTAGCATAATGCCAGCAATGAGGAATGCAGCACCAAACGATTTTAATAAAAGATTGCGACCAATACTTGAGAATAACCAGAGACCACTGCCTAGAAGTGCAAGAAACAGAATAAAGTCGAGCAACATTCTAGTCTTGAGAAGATGTTGATGAGCCAGTTGGAGTGGAGATACAACTTCGAAGATTGGATTCTGTAGTTCATCGATATCACTGATATATTTAGGCATTGGTATCCGATTAGGTGCTGATATCATATCTTCCATTTCAATTTTGACGTTAGACGACATAGTTATAAGTTTAGAAGAACAATTTATTCGAATCTGAAATATTTGTGTTTTCCTCAGAATAATAGTTAGTAAAATTTTGGCACATACAAGTGCTATTTCTTCAGACATGCTTTTTCGAATCTCTCTTACACAACAAGGTCGTTATGATATTAATCCCGACATCAAACAGTTTTCTTAGTTTTCAATATCGTTATTAAATATTTAGAACAATGTAGGTGTGAAAGGTGAGTATCGGCATGCATTTTCTCTTCATACACGTGCATGGTCACATCCCCATCTCTGATATATCCGAGGCACATATAATCACTGCACTCGATATCTAGAATATTGCTACAAGACAAACTTGGCATATTTGTGCCCTGAAATTTGCACTTTTTTCGGACGTGTAAGCAAATCAACTATATCATTTTCTATTAATTGATAAAAATCATACGTTCCATGTTAAAACACACAGAATAACATAAGTTTTCATCATCTAAATCTTCTAGAAAAATTCTGGGAGTGAACACAGATTCCATGTTGGAATGGCTCTATAGATTAGTCACTCAACTCATTTCTTTCTTATCTAACTCTCGTTTCCTAACCATTTGTTGAACTTTCGCATGATCTTTTTGCGAAATGTAAGATATAGTTCAGTATTTATAGCTTGGTTTTGTTCATTTAGTCCACATGTTGGTGCACTTTCTTCAAGTTCAATAAAAAAATCTGGCTCATCGTTTTGATTGATGGAATTTCTTCTAATTGATTTGACTTCAAATGCTGTATATGGCATGATAAGAACCTCTTTTTCGTGTCCATACTCAGATATTTCCATTATGCTTAATGCACTACGTCTAGTACGTATTTTGTAAGTACAAATTGCGGTAAATTGCTGTTTGTTTACGTCAGCACATTTTAGTGCAAATTTCTTAGCCACTGAATAATCGAGGGATGTAGATAAAAATGCTTTGTTCATTATATGTGATCCAACTTCGTATTGACCTAAATCGTGCTGTGTGATTTTCATCCCTCGATAACATTCACCAATGTAACTCATTCGATCAAAGGCACTATGCGTAAACAAAATTTGCAAATAACATTTCATTCCACAGCGATTAACATTACCATTAGCACTTTTAAAATTACCACCAATTATTGCGAGTTGTTTATTTAAATGCTTGTAAAAATCAGTTGGAGCTGTGTAAGCTTTAATTAAATAAATAGGATCCTTTGTGTTTATTGCTTGATCGAAATAAGTTTTTATTCGTTCGAGATGTCGTGATTCCCTAAACTCAATATTAATAAAATCAGTTTGAACTTCATGCACAAGCCAGTCAAGATTACGACCTTCCCATGAGTGTTCGATTATCCAGCGCCATTTTTCGGCTTCTCTATGAACATTCTCATCAACTTTCATCCATTCAATTTCACCATCGTGACAGACAAATCTTTCACTTTCATTTTCACGAAGAAAAAGCCGTCTAATTTCAATGTCTTTCGATTCAGATTCCGGTGTATAACCATAGAAATTTCTTATTGAACGAGATGCGCCTCGCTCTAGCAATAATCGAACTATCTCAATATGTCCATAATAAGAAGCAGCATGTAGGGCAGTGCTTCCGTTCGGTTCAATGCGGTCTATTTCACCCAGAGTCAACGTACTAAGTAATTCTTTTACCCTGTTTATGTCGTTGTTACGACACGAACTGTAAAGTTCGCTCACAGTGAAATTATTTCTTGCCATTGGAATGTCTTACTTGCTTAGAAGTGTGCGAATCATTTGAGCCAAGTGTCCAAAATGATTTCGGTATATACACGTGTTTTCGTCTAATAAAACAAGCAGTGTTCATTCTATTTTGCGGATGTGCATGTGTGACAAAAAATAAAACTCTGATCAAATTTGAACTACGGCATTTGACTCTAAACAATATTTGGTGACTATACTCTTCTCGGTTTTTATATTCTGATGATTTCAAGGAGTTTTGAACCTATTTAGCATTACAAACTTGATTTTCATACGCTGAAGTAATAATCGACTACAAAGATTAAATGTATTCAATAATATAGCTTCACTGAGGAACATCACCAGGGTGTTACAACATAATTACTGTTGCCATTCTTTACCTCGATTTTGTCGCTATGTGCACAATGCTTCATAGTAATTGTGAAGATTTCCAAATATTGATAAGTCCTAATCGTTTTTATAGATAACAGTTTTTCTAGCGTGGGGACCTCAGAATATGATTAAGAAAAACCATTAAGCAGACAATCATCTCTCGTTAGGTCTAACAATAAAAACTCAGGAACAATTAGCCTTATCAGAACGAAATACGCTGCTACTACAATGTGAAAACTAGTTCAAAAACGAAAACAAATGAGAAATGTCACAGTTAATTCCAGAAAAAAATGTATATTTACTATGTCTTATGGTAATTAAAAAATGACTCCTAACTTGTTTTCATTATTAGAGGACAGAGTAGTATCGCCATTTTGCGTATGTTAGAATGAGAATTCTGTAGTCATCACTATTTAGTTATTACCAATGAAGCGTATTCCGACAATCCAGTTCGATCAGACTCCATAGATATCCGATCGGATTTTAGATGAATTTCTATAAAACCAACAAATTCATATCAGTTGCCAGATCACAGAATAACATTCGCATCCATAGTGTCGAAATATCATCAGATCCTACCATCAGATTGTGACGGAATCCAACGTTCGGCTCTGACTACCCTCTTTCGTTGAATTGTGGTACTAATTATTATTAAATTATTTTTTGAATAGCTTTTCCGTCGGATCCGTTATCGGATTCATATATTTGGGTATTCCAAAAAGTGATGATGTTTCTACTCTTTATATGGAATTTGAACTAACTTTTCATAGAGCATTGAAGCTCATTTTCAAAAATACTAAGGAAATATCATTGAGTTTCGATTTTGTCCGAAAAACATTCTTTTCTTCAGAAAATTGAATTTAAATTCTACTTGCAATGAACTAGAAATTCCCTGAAAGTTACAACACGTTTTACGATACAAAATAAGTTGAAAATGTTTGCAAATAAACTAAGTAGTTCGCTTTCAAGGACAGAATTTATTTAAGATTGAAAACGCTATAATAAAAAGGAAGAATCCATTTATTTTTTAAAGTACGGAACAATTCAAAATTGTTTAATTGTCTCATAGAAATGCTGTTAGATTAGTTTAAAATCAAGAATACTCACTTGCTTAATGATATTGAAATATATGTTATTTGTTTTACGTTTTGTTTGCAATTGACTTTTTGACGCATTTGTGGATGATGAAATTGCTTGGTTTTTCCCAACTTTCTTTTGCTTTCTTCACATTAATGAAGCGTGACATTTTTTCATACAATACGTCGTGGGCTTCGTAAGCACGCGCTTATCGTTGTAGGTACCCACATTTTTTTATACGTTCTCCTTGATACTTTTTTTTTTCCTTTGCACTACATGTTGCTGCAACAAGAAAACGTGCGCCGATGTCCCTACATAAAAGCGTATTCATGTTGGACGACGAAATGTTTTGGATTGTAGAAAATGTGAATCAATAGTCTTGCGATTTGAGATACGAAGAAAATTTGGGAGGAGATGTCCCATGTCCTCAAAATCGATCAAAAATTGGCGATAAATCGCGATTCATCGAAACGATAATCGTGAGCTGAAACGCGATTAATCACCGATATTTTATGATGCTTTTAGCGATACATATGATAAATCGCGATTTATTAATGTATAATTCTATATATAATCGTGAGTGAAATCGCGTATATAACCTGATATTATCGCTATTACCAGCGATTTGATTTATTTTATAAGCGCTGTAATCATACTTCAATCAACTTTTATTTCAAAATATAAATCACTTTGATCACATCTAGGAACACATTTAGAAGAAAAAACAAGTCACTAAAGTTATCTACTGCTTTTCATATATTTCACTCGTAAGATAAAATAAAACGTAGAGAAAAAGTAATATTATAGTTAACGTATAACAAATGGAATTACGAAAAAATCACGTTACAAATCATGTATGTTGATTGAGTTGTAAACATAGGATACGCTAATGTTTTCAAAACGTAGCCAATTGAATCTTTAAATATAAAGTTCACATAGAATAAGTAAGTGGAATCAAATATATACACAAAAATGAAAATAAATGTCTAAAATCATAATAAAAATATTATCATAAACATCGTAACATACCGGTTAGTAAGAATATTCAATGTTTACGAAGTTATTGAAACTTACATTATTATTAGAATTGTTTATTAATTTCTTACACATTAAGGTAATGTTGTGTTGATGAAAACAAATTTGTTGATTGATGTTCGACATTTTTAACAAGATTATTATTATCTAAAAAAATAAAATCGCTGAAACACAATTTAGGACTCATCTAAGAAGAATTATACCATGTTGAATCATATTCTTTCGGATCTTTGTCTTTAAATTTCTTCTTTTTGACTTGATACATTCGAGCATTGGTCCACACACAGTTGCCAGTTCATCGGCTGTTAAGCCGAACTTTACTTGAACAGCATCTATAATAAAAAAAGCTATATTGTTTCATGATAATGTGGATTTTTACCTCGAATAATTGTAACACGATTATCTGTATCTATGTCACGTGGATCAATATCAAGTAATTGGGTGTGGGTGTGGGTGTGGGTGTGGGTGTGGGTGTGGGTGGTGTGGGTGTGGGTGTAGTTGTTGGGTATCGTTGCCTCACCACATCGGCATCCCACCTACACCCCAGCCAGGGTGTGGGTGTGGGTGTGGGTGTGGGTGTGGGTGTGGATGTGGGTGTGGG